CAAACACCAAATTTTTCCAACATCTAACCCCAAAAGTACACAGAGAAATCAGACATAAGCAGAAATGGGTATTTCGAAAGGTTTGATTTTGAAGATGTCAGACAAAGAACAAGAGCTTGGATTCATAACAGAAACTTAAGAAGCAATGAAATTGGATAAAAGAAGAAACTTTAGAGCTATGGAGAAGAAAAAAGGAAACTTTACCAGAATTAGCATGAGGACTATGGCTGCTACTATCCACTTTAGCTGATGAATCTAAGCAATTACCCATTTCTCAAAACTAAAGCCTCACTGTTTTTTTTTTTTCTCGATAAACAATCAACAGATTCGAAAGAACAAAGCCAACGAGCTTTTCTTTGTTTACTCTGCGGCGCAAAAGCTGGTAGTAGTAATAATAATTAATTCTCCAACAAAAAAAAAAAAAAGATTTTGAAATCAGAATTTCAGAAGAAGAAGGAACGTGAAAGAACACAGAGAATCACAGCACAACCATAATACATACAGAAGTCGTGGTGGTGGTGGGGTTTTGGATCAAATTACGATTCTATCCTTTTTTTTTTTTGCTTTTGTTCGCCGTGGTCCGTGGCTTTTTCTCTTAAATGACGATATTACCCTCGCTTTCGGCGAATCTTTATGTTTAATGCCGGCATCAAAGAAAGGATAGTTCGGTAAAAACCTGTGTTAGTAGATCTGGACCATCTGGCAACGTCTTTGCTTGCGTCAGCAAATCCACGTCAGATTTCTTCAAAGCTTTTTTTACATTCACCTTTAAGCAAAAGCAAAAGATGCATCAAATCTAAAGATTAATTTTGGTAAAAGATTCCATTATTTTTTGTCATTTTTAGATAATGTAAAGATTTGTTAATCAATTCTAAATGGAGTACAGGTGGTTTGGTACTGTTTAATTATAGAAAGAGAGTAGTTAACACGCTTTTGTAATATTTAAATTTCAAGTGTATCAAAACTTTATTCCTATTAACAAAAAAAACTTTATTTCATGCATTGACCCCAAAAAGAATTCCTCTATCAATCACATTATGTTTGACCGACAACTCCAAGAGCTTCTTTGGCCATAGTTTACATTGACACGTGGGGACAATATTCGCATATAAATTATCATAAAGCATCGTACAATTGTAACTTGTAAGTAAAAAGAACAGTAAAAAAAAAAATTGGAATTTAATAGAAGAATCACTAAACAATTTATCAAATGAATAGTTGACCGAAAAAAAAATATCAAAATGTGTTATTCGTCATTCAGTTGTATGGAATTGTGAAAAAAATTCTAAACACAAATCCTGATTCCACTAAAAATTGCCAAAAAAAGACTCATTCACAATTTTAAACATGTAATATACGGATGTTTACGTTTAAATAATAACAAATTTGCAAAGAGCGCTCGAGTACGAGGTCTAGTTTTTTCTCATGTAAGCTTCCAAGTTCCGGAGTGGTTGACTCACGAGGCTAACGTTTTCGAACTAGCTTAATAATAATGGTGTTTTGGTGTAAAAAAAAAAAATAATAACAAATTTGAGTTGGAATATGATGATTATTTTTTGTTTGTAAAACTAGTTTGTATGATGATGACATGCTGATAGTACTAACATAAATAATTAAATGGTCAACACAATTTTAAATTTACCTTTTGAGTGATAACATTTACGGTTGTTACGGTTGTGCCACTCTAATTACTATAATTGTATATTGTCGGCAATTGAATAGCATTACAATATATAACGTCCGTATATTGCAACTTGATATATAAATATCACCAAGTGATTTGTATAAATATCCTAAGGTTAAAAAAAAAAATATATATATATATATATATATCCTAAGGTTTTAACGCGAAGCATGTGAATAGTATAAAAACGACAAAAAGAAGCATTCAATAGTAATCTTTTGACTATTTCAAACTCTTATTATGTATATTTTTTGTCAACCATATTATATTATCTATCCGTTAAGCCATCGATCCATTATGATATTCATGGACTTTAAAAGTACTATACGTAATTTGAGTGCACATTATTTTATTTGCTATCATATTTATACTTTCAATCTTTTCTTTGTCAACAATATTATCATCTTTGCTTTACACAAAAGCGTCTATCTTATCATCTTAGATTTATAAATGTGATTTACTAGTATTTTATCAAAATTCATAAATTGAACATACGAGTTTCTTATTCAGTTTGTCCCCTTGAATGATTCAATCAATACACTTAAATAGAGATTAAAACTCCATCTAAATCAAAGATTAACGACCCTTAATGATGTGACGCTACTTTTTGGTCAACTTTAAAGCACCCACCCACCGAACATGTTGCAACTTATAAAGACTAGCGTGTGGTTTTTACAACAATAAAACGGCGTGTAGTTTCTCTTTCTGTCTCAGACACGGAACCCATTTCACGAGCTGCACGTGGGTGCTTCGTTAACCAATAAGAAACGTTAAGTGAGATCATCAGTCCAGTGATTAGCTTCCACGTGGAACATCGACGTCTATTTTCGCGCCTTTGTAACAATTTCCTCTTCCAAAATCCAAAATCAAACATTTTAGTTTACGATTTTTTCGGATTCGATCAGTGAAATTCGAATCGAAACGGCGCCGGAGGAATCATCGCCGGTGTCGGGGCGTTTCCGGAGCGGCGATGGAGGTTCATGGCTCCGGTTTCCGTCGAATTATGTTATTGGCGTTGTGTATCTCCGGGATCTGGTCCGCCTACATCTACCAAGGCGTTCTTCAAGAGACTCTGTAAGTGCAATTGTTAGGTCAGATCGATTCTCGTCGTCTTCATTGCTCGATTCAGTTTGTTGTTGCGAAATTGTGAGTCATGATTCGCTTGCAAATACACTTCTATATTCGGAATCTGTGGTTTGAATTTCTAGACATAGCTGCCGGAACTTGTTCTTGAACCTTCTGTATACGAATTTCTGTGGTTACCTTAGAATTTCAGTCTTGTCGAAAAATGTCCCTGGAATTTTTAGAGACATATAGCTACAAGGACTAACGAAAATCGTTATCTGATTAGGTCCACCAAGAGATTTGGTCCAGATGAGAAGAGGTTCGAGCATCTTGCATTCTTGAACTTGGCTCAGAGTGTAGTCTGCTTGGTCTGGTCTTATATAAGTGAGCATTTTTCCAATTCCATCTCCATTGCATTGTCGTCGAATACAGAAAAATGTGGCTGAAATTTCGTCTTTGTCTACCATTTGATGATGTCCAGTGATCAAGCTCTGGTCAAGCGCTGGTAATGGTGGAGCACCATGGTGGGCGTATTGGAGTGCCGGCATTACTAATACGATTGGTCCAGCCATGGGAATTGAAGCTTTGAAGTATATCAGTTATCCAGCTCAGGTAACTTTTTACCTCATCAGTAATACTCAGATTATGGTTTTAAACTGTTCTTAGGTAAATGCTGGGTTGAATTCTGAATTTCTGATCTTGCTTACTGTAGGTCCTGGCAAAGTCGTCGAAAATGATTCCAGGTATGGTTGACATCTTCAATCCGTTAACTCCTCAAAAAGTTGATCATGAAACTCTCTTTCTTTCACATTTCTTCTTAAGTTCTCTCGGTTTATCTTATTCATGCTGCTCTATTATTCGTGATGCAGTTATGCTTATGGGGACTTTAGTTTACGGAATAAGATACACTTTCCCTGAGTACATGTGCACCTTTCTTGTCGCGGGAGGAGTATCTTTCTTTGCTCTTCTTAAGGTATCCAACTCTGCTCATAATGTTTTTCAAATTATTGATCATGGCATATGATTAACTAATAAGCTTTTGAATTGTTCTTTTCAGACAAGTTCAAAGACAATTAGCAAGCTAGCGCATCCCAATGCACCCTTAGGCTACGCACTATGCTTCTTAAACCTTGCCTTTGACGGATTCACAAACGCTACCCAAGACTCTATTGCCTCAAGGTATATATGATCTGACATGGAATCGTAACATAAAACTTACAGCTTCCTACTATAAGTCTATAATCATATCACTATACAATGAACTTTGACAGATACCCAAAAACCGAAGCGTGGGATATAATGCTCGGAATGAACTTATGGGGAACAATATACAACATGATATATATGTTTGGATTGCCACAAGGGATTGGATTCGAAGCAATTCAGTTTTGTAAGCTACACCCGGAAGCGGCATGGGACATTCTAAAGTATTGTCTATGTGGTGCCGTGGGACAAAACTTCATCTTTATGACAATAAGTAACTTCGGGTCACTAGCTAACACAACCATAACCACGACCAGGAAGTTTGTTAGCATCGTCGTGTCATCGGTAATGAGCGGAAATCCATTGTCGTTGAAGCAATGGGGATGTGTTTCGATGGTCTTTGGTGGTTTGTCATATCAGATTTATCTTAAATGGAGGAAATTGCAGAGAGTGGAGAAGAAGAAGCAAAAGAGTTGAAGTTTTTCCCTCATATCTCTAAATTACTTTTCAGTTATTGTTAGTTTATGTCACTAGTCAATACAAATAGAGAATCTCAAACCAGATTAGTTAACTGTAAAAGTAACATTACCAATACTAATCAGTAAAATATATGATTTGAATTTTATCAGTTTTGGTTGGTATTCAAGCCACATCACTGTTTTAGCGGTTTAGAGAGGATTTGGGTTTTTGATGTATAAACCAGACTAAAGAAAGATTCTTGGTTGGAGACACCGGTAAGGTTCAACTTTGAAGACATTTGATTTTATCTGAAAACCGGATTAGAAGGAGTACAAACCACAAAAGTAATTGGAGGTTAAAATTTTCAAATTAAAAACAAAAGTTAGAAAGAAAGTGATGATTACGTTTTGTCTTCCACTAACTAACAACTTAAAAACAGCTCCCATTTTATAAGAGAAGCAGATCCAGATCCAATTAAGATAACCTCTTCTTCATTCTGCAACTGTAATCAGTAATCACAGAGGAAGGAGAAGATGATCTTGAAAAATCATAGGTACGTACCTTTATGAATAATGAAACACTTATATAATTCACACCAAAATCAATTCATTTCCACTCATAATAATCTCTTTACAAATCACATGATTCTTCTCAGAAAGGAACAAAGGGAAACGATTTATGACAAACAAACAAACATTTCTTTCTTTTTTCTTTGTTTGTTTTTTTCTTCTCACACCTATGAGAAGTTACACTACACTGTTTTGCTCCAAAACCATACGAAAATCTTTGTTTATCTTTTCTTCTTTCTTTTTCTTCTGTGTATTTTCATTACTGTATATAGAAAGGCGACATGCCTCTCTCTCTGAAGTTGTATTCTTTCTTCTTTTTCCTTTAGTTTTACACTCTGAAACAAAAACTCTATTTTTTTTTATGTAATAATATAGGTTCTGTACAGAGAATCAAGAAAACAACAAATCAAGAATTCATGGGGGAGACAACCCAAGATTATGTATCTGGGTCTGACCCTAGAAGAGGGAGACAAACGAAAGAATTTTTCTTAAGACACACAAATCATGAATGGAAGAAAAAACTCATACTTTTTTTTAGCCCTTTTTATGAAATGGCTTTTGAGTATGATGATGAAAAGAAAACTCTCCTAATGAGTGAGCAAAGGTTTTGGAATCCTGAGTATCTGAGAGAGAAACTCAGTTTATAAGATGGGTCTAGACTTTAGAAATGTTACCTTTAACATTCTAGATTCTAGATTATGAACACTGAGGAAGGAAAAAAATGCAGATCATGGCACGCCCGCTTCACTAAAACTTTTCAGGCCGATATGGCTGCAAACCTATGGAGAAAATCTAAGCAAAAAGAGGGAAGAAATGCAGGTTATGTCCACCTCCATGAGGACATAACCGCGGTTTAGGGGCAGTTTTTTTGGTTTAGAGAGTTTGGTTTACAAGCTATCGAGAAGGACTCTTTTGCAAGGAGGTGGTTGTGAAGGATTAGCACTTGGATATGGAGATGGGGACTCGACACCGAGTGTTTTTAGCAGAAAGTTCCTCTCCTGCAGAAACAGATCAATCAGGTTTCCTTTACTATAAAACTAAACCAGAAAAGTTTCCTCAGTTCAACTAGTTAAGTGAAAGCTTACACTTTCAGAGAATTGTGGGCTTGGGATGCCTGCTGCTAGAGATCTGAACAATGGAGTGACTTGAACAGGTGAGTTAAACTCTTCGTCACCCGGCATGGGCACAATCTCATTTGGGTTCTTTAGGACTTCCTGACATGGTGTGAGTAAATTTACTTGTTCCACAGTTGTATCAGACACAATACCTTTATCTAGTAGTAAATCCCCATCATTTTGTTTCTGCAATGTTGTCTGAGTATCAGACATGGGTTGTTGGGTTTTATCACCAGAAGGATGCGGCATTATGGTTGATCCTGATCCTGAGCTATATTCAGAGCTTGCTGGTGAATCATGGAGATCAGGTTGCCTATCAGTGACAGCAATGGCTGTTTAGACGACCAAAAACCACGAAAAAAAACATAATCATTCATATATGAAAAATTCATTTCAGAACCTCCAAGATGATTGACTATCTTCATTACTAATCCTCAAGTCCTCATCGAGATCTTTAAATTCATCGAGTTGGAAATCGATATCTGGGATTCCATATCTGAATAGATCATTTTCTTTGCTCTTATTCAAGAAATCCTGTAGAACCTGGACATATTAGGAACAACAACAAAAAAAGCTTGTTATTAGAAAAGGATCGTGCAACACTATGGTCAGTTTCAGAAGTTAAATGACAAAATGAGTCGAGAATCACACAGCAGCGCTGCGCATTGTTTACCTTCCAGGCATTCTCCATGCTTTGATCTGTGTTGTCTGCATTAACTTTCTGGGCCAATGAACTGAGAAGCTCAGCTTGTTGCATCAAAGCTGTCACCTTTGGATCATCCTTCTTAAGAAATGCCTCTTGGTTACCTTTATCCTCACCTATTTACCAGAAACACAACTTACCAGAATAAGCAACAACAAGATTTAAATGACTCTCTAAGTTTGCATCTTTATGCATCTTTACAAATGCTATCAGGATAAGCAACAACAGGAAGAAGGTTTTGCGCACCGTCACTCTCTTTTGCATTGCCTGTTTGTTTTTGCTCTTTCGTGCCATCAATACCTGTAGCATTGTGGGCTACTACCGAAAACGGAGGTCTACTCTGTTGAGTCATAGCCGATTCAACCTTTAAATGTGATCTATCTCCATAGCTCTTGATCTCTGTAAGATCTGGAATATGACTTCTCCTGGATAATGAACATTATCACTATAACTCAATATAACAGTTCAAAAAGCTTTCTTCTTTGGATCAATCAACGACCCCCAAAAAGAGAAACCAAAACAAGTTTCTCACCTCATTTTCTTAGTAAGAGGAGATTCACTTTCGGCTTTTCGAGGTGTACTAATACCATCTTGGAACAACAATCTCTTGTTGTTTGAGTTCACACAACAAGCAATCCTGTTCTCTTTCGCCATGGCTTCATGCTTAGCCCTCTTCTTGCACAGTGTAGTAAACCTGTTCTTCACAGCATTATCCGTTCTACACAAACAACAAACAAGAAAGAAAGAATTCTCTAATTTTATATTCATAATAACTTCATTCACTATCAACGCTTGAATCTCTTGGTTTCAATATACCTTCCTGAAACCACTTTTGCTATCTCAGTCCACCTGTTCCCAAACAATCTCTGTGCCTTCAAAACCAAACACACACAAGATCAGGCACAAACTTAATCATCTCTGTATGATTAAAAAAAGATGTCTAACCTCACACAACAGTGTATCTTCTTCAGGGGACCAACCTCCTCTCTTGAAATCAGAGTTTAAGTATGTATACCATCTGCAATAAATAAATAAAAAAACCCACATAATCAGATCAAAACACACACAAAAACTCCACATTAAAAAAAAAAATCATTTTGATTTCCAAAAGATGAAACCAAACCTTCTTCTACACTGCCTTGTGCTCTTATCATTAAACTTGGATGCAATGATCGCCCAACTAAAATCAATCACCACAACAACAAAATCAAAACTTTTCATCAGAATCAATCAACCCAATAGAACAGAAACTAAACCCAGAAATTAAAATTGAAATAAAAAAAACTAACTTTTCAGTTCCAAGTAAACTGATTTGCTTCCTTAGTATATCATCTTCCTGAAAATCTCAAAAACAGAGATTCATCAATAATCAAAAAACAGAGATTGATCAAATATGCTTTGGATTATATAGAGAAGAGAGAAGAGAGAAGAGAGACCTCTGGAGACCAAGTAACAATATGACGCTCCTTCTTCTTGGAATCATCGGAATTAACAAGAATCTTCTTCTTCTTCTTGGTCTGCTTCGTTGTCTCTTCCATTAAAGAAGTTTGGTCTCTTTCTCTCTCTGACGCTCTCGTCTGTAAAAATTTCTTAGTCTAATTGTTAATTTGCTTCGACGCTCCTTCTCCTTTATTATAAAACCCAAAACTATCTCTATCTATCCCACAAAGAAGAGAGACCCCTCCTACTTTTTTTTTTTTTTTCTTATCCGAGAAAAAAAAAACAAACTTTTTCCAGAAAACTAAAAGAAATCAAAAACCCTAAATTTAATTTATAAAAAGGATCTCATTTTTCATCACTACTCGGGAAATTTCTCTGCTTTTATAAACCCTCACGGAGAGATTGAATTGCGACTAAAGAAACGGTAAAAGGGAAAGAGATTTCTTATAGAAAGAAAGAAAAACAAAAGTTGAGATTTTTTACCCAAATTGTGAATCTAGGGATTTTTTTTGAAATTGTCTTTTGATTAAACGATTCATGAACATTGGTTTCGTTTAAAGAAACTTCTCGTTACCATTTGGAACTATAAGAAAATTTGTTCTCATTAGTCATTACTCTTTCTCTCTCTCCTCCACATGATACCTTTTTTGAACTCTCTATTTTTTTTTCTCTATCTCTAGGTTTTTATTTTCAACAGAAAAAAAAAAAAGAGAGAGAGAGAGAGGCCAACACCAACGTATGGATGGGTTTAGTGCGCGGGTATGAAGTGAAGTTTGAAAAATAACGCTGAAATCCATGTGTCCCCTCTTTTTTTATTTTTATGTTGTTTTTTCTATTTTATTTCAAAAATTTTTATTATTATACATCGATTAAGAATGTATTTTTTTCGGTTTAAATGTGAAAATTTGAGATCTATTACGAATGTGTAGGAGAATATATTATAAAGTATAAAATTTTCAAAAACTTGACTTAAGTTACACACAAACGAACGTGGTGATTTTATTATATTACGGTACAGTGTCTAGAGTTTTGTGGGGAATATGATTACTTTTTATGATTCTCCAATTGAATCTAATTTTTTTTTTATATTACAATGATAAGATTTCATTGTTTTTTTATATTACAATGACAAAATCTTGAAGTCTCCCATTTTCTAAAACTTTACATTTTCTTTTATTATTCGAGTTTTAAACCTATTATTTTTCTTTAGCCATTTTGTTTGGTTTTATCTCCATTTTTTTTTTATGTACAACAAATTTCAAGCTAAGTTTAATTAGGGTTTGATCGATTATCTAGTTTGAAATCTGAAACTAATATACGAAATAAATAAATAAATTTGGATTTGAACAATTTTTGCAAGGAGATTTGACAATGTTGTTGTTGTTGTTTTGTTAAAAGAGTATACGACAATTTACGTGACTCAACCATCGACCATTCCTTTCTGTTTCAATTCTTTTGTGCCTTACTTTTTATTTTCTTATATATTCTTTAAAAATTATAACTATAGTTTTGATTTTTGGAAATTAAAAATATAATTCATGCAATATGAGCTGCTTCAGTTAAACTTAACGGAACTAGAACTTATTTTTGGCAATTACATATGTAACTCAAACCTTTATTACACAAAACAAATCTAGAGAATGAATATAAGTATTTATTTTAGTTGGACTTGTGTTTTAGTATGGGTAAATCCCATGAGATAAGATAATTAATCATTATATTATTGTACCTTGGTTAAAACTAAAAAATTAGTTTGGGATTAGTTCAAAGTTTGACCGGAAGGTTTGCAGTGCACGTGAGAGTGAGCGCGTGGTGTTTGAGATTCAGTCATTAACGGATTTAAGAGCAACCCCAATGAATGAGTCCTTAAAAGGATCCTTAAACATATTTTAATCTTACTTTACAACAATTTTTAAGTTAAGAAATTTTGATGAATCCTTAAAATTTTCTTTGTCCAATGGTGAGTCCTTAACTAGGTTTCTTAAAAAAAATATTTTTTTTTTAAAATGAAAAATTATAAACATTTTTATATGATAAAACTTAATAAATATTACAAATTCCTAAGAATTTTAAACATAGAAAGCATAAAAGCAAAAAAAAAAAAAATACAAAAAAAAAAACGGAATAACGAGTAGTCGTTAGCTTAGTTTATGCCAAATTGTCGCCAAATATGCTCAACCAAATCAGCTTTCAGTTGTTCATGTTTAGTCCGATCTCGTATTTCGGATCGAGTGGCCATCATATTACCCAGATTTGAAGGCATTTCTGTAGAGTATGTGAAATCCACTTGTGAAGATGTGGTTGATTCCGGGTGTTGGAATTCGGTGACATCAAACTGAGTGTACCCATCTCGTTCATCCTCTACTATCATATTATGAAGAATTATACATGCTCGCATAATCTTTGCTATTTTTACCTTAGCCAAATTAGACCCGGATCTTTTACAATGGCAAATCGAGCTTGCTAAACTCCATAAGCACGTTCAACATCTTTGCGGCAAGCCTCTTGATTTGTAGCAAATAAAGAAGCTTTTTGACCTTGTGGAATAGAAATAGATTGGATAAATGTAGCCTATTTAGGATAAATGCCATCTGTGAGATAGTAAGCCAAATGATAGTCGTTCCCGTTGACTACGTATTTCACTTTCGGAGCTTTACCTTGTAATATATCATCAAAAACTGGTGATCGATCAAGAATATTTATATCGTTTAAGGTACCTGGAGGTCCAAAAAACGCGTGCCATATCCAAAGATCTTGGGAAGCAACAGCCTCTAAAACGATTGTTGGTTTGCCGGATCCACGTGTATATTGCCCTTTCCAAGCTGTGGGGCAATTCTTCCACTCCCAATGCATACAATCTATGCTTCCTATCATCCCGGGAAATCCACGTCCCGCTCCAATATGGAGTAGTCGTATAAGATCTTCTCGTGTGGGTCTTCTTAAGTACTCATCTCCGAACAAATAGATGATTCCATCAACAAAATGGTGTAAACATGACATCGAAGTACTTTCACCAATTCGTAGATATTCGTCAACCGCATCAGCCGCATGACCATATGCCAACATACGAATTGCTGCTGTAGCCTTCTGTAGTGCCGAGAAACCGAGCCTTCCGGTAGCATCTCTTTTTTGTTCAAAGAATGGAACTTCATTGGAGAGTCGATCAACAATACGCATGAACAAGTGCTTGTTCATTCTGAAACGGCGTCGAAATATATGCGGAGGGAATGTTGCATCTTCAGAGAAATAGTCGTTCCATAACTGGATGTGACCTTGTTCACGCTCTCTTTCAATATATGCTCGTTTTTTTTTTTTCTTGACTTGTTGTTGTTGACGATCACCATAATTCTCTAATGTTTCGTCGATATATTGATCAAATTTATCGTTCAACATTTCGTTGAGATTATAATTTGAAGAAGATCCCATTTATCTAAAAAAGAATTTGTTATGAATCGTAGTAAAAAAGAGAATTTGTTTTCGAGAAAAAAAGATAGTGTTTTGTAGAAGAAGAAGAAGAAGAATAAGAATTGGTGATGGTGTTTTGAAGAAGGAGAAGATTAAGATTGTTTTCCCCAAACGATTGTTTTATAGAGAAATAGTGTTTTGGAGAAAAGAGATATGTTGTTTTGGAGAAGAAGAAGAAGAAGAATAAGATTGTTTTGGGAAAGAAGAAGAGGAGTGTTCGGTTTAAATATGAAGAGAAACTAAAGAAACATAATTTGAAAATAAAAGTATCAAACAAACTAAATTACAAGTCTGAATATTGTCGGCACAAAAATACAAAATACTAGTGTCATGTGTAGAAGAGATGTCGACACAAAAACACAAAACAACTCTGTCTCACTGTTGTCTACTACAAGTGAAGTCGGCACTAAATCACAAAAGCATTGGTGTCACATGTGTCTCTTACTCGGCTCACCTGCAAAATTGTTAATAAGAGAAGTCATCAGACCAAACACATCTAATAAAAACATCATACACAAACCAGAAACTTAAAACAGAAGCACAAAACATTCAGAAACTTTAAGACTATTAATAGAACATGCTTACACTTAAAACTGAACAACAAACTTCATTCAGTTTAAGTTAACATTCAAGTTAGTTCAGTTTAAGTCAACATTCAGTTTAAGTTAACATTCAAGTTAGTTTAGTTTCAGTTGAAGACAAGCATACTTAGCTTAAACAGAAATCATTTCATTAATACCAAAACACATTCAGACATACTTCAAACATAAACTAAAGACATAGTTAAACTTAAAACAGATAATTAAAACATACTTCGCTTAAATAGAACATAAAAACAAACTTAAGCTTAGGACAACAAATCCATTATGAGCTTGTTCTTAAGAGTCATCTCTATGTCAGTTAGACGATCACCATAATTCTCTAATGTTTCGTCGATATATTGATCAAATTTATCGTTCAACATTTCGTTGAGATTATAATTTGAAGAAGATCCCATTTTTCTAAAAAAGAATCGTAGTAAAAAAGATAGTGTTTTGTAGAAGAAGAAGAAGAAGAATAAGAATTGGTGATGGTGTTTTGAAGAAGGAGAAGATTAAGATTGTTTCCCCAAACGATTGTTTTATAGAGAAATAATGTTGACTGGCATAGAGCATGAGGCCTGTGCAGAGCCGTCCTCAAACCTCTTCCTCTTTGCTGACCCACTGTCTTTACTTGTTGATGATCCGCACCACTTCTGATCATGGCGAAGCTCCCTCCAAGCATGCTCAAGTGTGAACTTCGCCTTGTGATCATTGTAGAAGATCTGGTGAGCCAAGTTCACCACATCATTCTCATTCTGGCCACTGGTCTGCTGTTTGGTTGCAGCCTCATAGCTTCCTACAAACTTACAGACTCCCTCATTTATCTTTGCCCACCTTTGTTTACAGCATAATGGAGCTCTCTTTTGCAGACCTCTCAGCTTGGGACTTGCTGCAAAGTAGTCTGCAATGCGTTGCCAGAAAGCTGTGGCTTTTTGCTCATTGGAGACAACAGCATCCTTGGAGGTGTTGAGCCAGGCACTAATGAGAATCACATCTTCTGTTGGTGACCATTTACGTCTTGATTTGCGGTCTGCAACAGGCTCTTCAGCAGGCGCTGGAGCTTGATTTGGGTCAATCCAAGGTGCACTAAATGAAAAACCAGCATACTGATTTGGTGGAGGCATGGGGTTATCTTGTTGAGAACTTAAGAGGTTTAAAAAGCTTGAAGGATTGGTATATGGATTCCTTGAATCCATATCAAAATGTTTCTGGTTTGTGTTAAAAGGAGAAGATAAGAGCTGTGGTTTTTGCTTTAAGAAGACAATGAAGAAAAGAGGATTATGGTTCAATGTTTAATAGAGTTGCGGATGTTAAAGAGGAGTGAATATGGTTAGGTTTGAATTAACTAGAGCTGAAGCTATTAAAAAAGCTTCAGTCTTAAGTTGAAGTGATGGTTAGCTGTTAACTTTAAGCAATGAATGACATACACTTTAACCTACTCTCAACCATGCAAGATAACAGAGACTTTAACCTACTTTAACAGAGATCATAACTATGATAATGATCATATCTAACCTAATCTAATCACAGACTCTCAACCATGCAAGATAAATCAAAGAGAAGCAATCATTGACAGAGATCATAA